TCTACGGAGCGTGCTTGGATTTCATTCCCTGATGCAAATGATGTTTTCGGTGTAATCATGCAAAAGCACAGCTGGCTTCCATTTCTCCACACCTCGAGCCTGTTGCTCCCCCTCACTGCTGACTCTTAACCACCAGAACCTTCCTTGCGCCGGGCTCCTGTCTCCTCTCCCCGTCTGTTTGCCGTTGTTGTCTCCTGCAGCCCTTGTGTTTGCTCTCTGCTTCTTGTAGTTATCTTCTTTCCCTTTCCTGTGTCACTTGCCACACCAGCCCTCCCCCTTTCATCCCATCATCACACACACACACACACACACACTTCTCTCCACTGCCACCACCTCCAAGCAACCCTCTTCATATTGAATGGATCCACTAGCCTCGGTGCCTCCTGCGGTGAGCCTGGATTGAATTCAATTAGGGAGATTGTTTGCCCTGCAGAGTTTACTGGTGGGCTCCGTGGATGATAGGTTTGCCTGCCGACTTCCACTTCTCCCAACGTCCTCCCTCACTCATACACACACACTCTTCCACACACAAAGACACACCACTACATCCATCTACCCTGTTTCCCCTTCATCTGACTCAGTGTAGACACCCCTCCTTTCCTCTTTCTCCTAACAACTTCCTTTTGGCAGTGCACTTGCCTTTCTATTTCCATTTCCTTCTTTTTTTTGGTGTGTACTCTGTTTACGTTGCTTTTCAGGCCCCCGTTGATGTTTTTATGCTATTTTGTGACATCGCATTCAACATGATCAAGGCATAAAAAGCGTCACAGTGGGGAAAATGCGTCATATCACCTCTTTGATAAGACCACAGGGCCTCATATTCTCCATGTGGCTGTTTTGTGAGAGTTGCTGGGATGGGATTTTTCAGATGGGAACTGTTTTATTTGAGCTTAATCCCAGCAGCTACACACACATTTCAAGATAATCCCCCCCCCCCATTTTTTGTTCCAGAATTAATTTTCCCATTTTCTAGCATATCCAGCATAAAGGGAAGGGCAGTAAATGTTGCTGACATAGGAGTAATGGCCACATTAGTTGCAAGGTGAAAATAGAATTGTGCTGTCATTTGAATAACATTGAGAGCAGCAGGCGGTACTTATGCATGCTGCTGGCTTGTGGTTTTAGATATGAAGTGAAAATCTGGTACAGACATAATGGCCCTGGTCTCTGTTCTGTGTAGAAACATATTTCAGGGACTTGTCCTGTAACCCGCTGCTTTCCTTCAGATGTCACACTGTGTGACTGTGTACCAGTGCTCCTCAGAAATCAGATACTGTATTAGTGCTGAAAGATGTCAAATGAATTAAAAGCTAGGCATCGCTTTGATGATAAACGTCCTAATGCACTCTGACGTGGAATTACGACCTTCGTTTGATGTACCTTTTTTTTGCCTGATTTGTGGTCACTGCCGATTATGTTTAATTCACTTGAAGGCAATGACTTTGTGGGGCTTTAAAAAAAAAACGTTTGATTTACAAACAAGTGTCATTTGGCAGAAGGATATTTTTCAAGCTACTACGCGAGAAGAATCCTAAAGTAGACCGATTATATTTCCTTTTTCTCTGATACTTGTGCTGTTACAAACCTGTAAATGGTAAATGGTAAATGGCCTGTATTTGTATAGCGCTTTTCTAGTCCCTAAGGACCCCAAAGCACTTTACACACCCAGTCATCCACCCATTCACACACACATTCACACACT